AGAGAAAACCATCCCTGGCCTTCAGCCGCTGCAGTGTGGTGAGCCGGCTGGAGGCCAGTGACAGTCAGCTGTCAGAAGTAGCACAACAAGGCCAGAGCTGTCTGACAGGAGGCTGCTGGCCACAACCCAACAAGCTGTCTAGAGAAGCTGCTTTCACTATTTGCCACAGCCGGATAAAGGCATTTATTATTATTATTTTTATTAGTGCTGCATAGGTTATTGATTTGTTAGTTATTGTTAAGTCCTCTGATGTGTTGAACTTTGGTTCTGGTTTAAATGAAGTGATAACAGTGATAACAGTCCAGACAGAGCCTTGGATCTCAACGGCTTCAACAGCAGTAATGATCTGAAAAAATAAGACTGATCATTCATGATATCGTAAAACACATTTTTACTTCAAAATAATGTTAATCCACTGTATAATGATGTCACAAATATTGACAGTTGTTTATACATAGATCCAAGTCCTTTCAACAAGTCCATTCAAGATATGCATCATTTAATGAACTGCAGACTACTTATAACTCAGCATATCTGTTTGGATCTTTATTTGGGACTTACCATAACTCCAGTTTAAGAGATCCTCTGCATCTTCTTCTTGAAGATCCCCAAGCTGGAGATGAACTCCTTGGCTCTGATTGGTTGATTTCATTCAGACCCAGTGGATTCTTCTTGCATTTTCCAGAGGAACCTGATTTGTTCACAGATGACAGATGACATGTCTCGTGTTCTGCTGTCCCAGGAATTTATTATATGTAAAAAGATATTTTTATAAAAGTGACCATACTGCAGCTTTAAACCCCCTGGGCTACCACGCTGTTTGGACTGCTAGCTTAACATTAGCTTACGCGATTTCAGCAGATGCGCAGAGGTGGGGGTAACGAATGTGGCATTCAAGGTGATGACTGGTTACTAGTAGTTAGTAACTAAATAGTAATACATAAGCAGGAATCGGGGTAAGGATTTCACGTAAGCTTCCGCTACCGCCAAGTTTATGTGACCGACAACCAGTACACATGTGGGGAACACGTTCGTTTCAGCAGAATCCAGAAAATAGTTCATATAAATAAAACTACTACCTGCCTGCTTTCCACCGTATGTGTCTTGTTGTTAGGAGTATATTTGAGCTCATAGAGTGCGGCTGTGCCTCAAGAGGCAGACGGGTCCGTCCCCAAATGGGAAGGTTGTTGTTTGTCCCCGCTTCCTCACTGTCGAAGTATCCTGAGCAAGATACTGAACCCAAATTGCTCGCTGATGACAGCATCGGTGGTTGAATGTGTATGCAATGAGTTAGTTTCTTGTTCGATGGGCTTTGCCATCAAACTGTAGTAGCGCTTTGAGTGGTCGGAAGACTAGAAAGCGCTATACAAGTACAGTCATTTACCATTTTACCTATAACTGTCCATACACTTGTACACTTGATTGTTGAACTGATGAGGTTTGGGGTTGATGTGAGGAGGCTTTGAAAATAGTGTTTTGACGTGAATTTAGGGTTCCAGAGAACAGAATGAACTGGATATCTCCTGGAAAGGAAAAATACTTTGTTCTAATTGGACGCAGGATCAGTAAGAGAGTGGTAATAAAGTGACTTTCATGTTTTTACTAAGTCCTCACTGTGAGATGATGAGGTCCCACAATCAAACACAGTTATGTTTCGGCAAAGATCCAACAGTTACAGGAAACATTAACAGGAAAAGATGTTGCAGCAAAGCTATCAGTCTTTTAGGGTATACTGATTAGTAAGGTAAGCTGCTCACAGCTCACCACATGTATGCACACTTTCACACATTCAAAAGCCGATGGTTTACATGTTAATCAGAAGTTCTCAGTAGGAACGTTTGTCCTGGTATACATCAAAGCTGCTGTCTTGCATCCCTCACTTATACCTTGGAAGTCCTCCTTCAAATAACACCTCGTACACCCTACCTGTCTCACATACCCAAACCGCCAGTGTCAGGGTCTCTTGGGGAGACACCCGCAACGCACATCCTACAAACAATAGCTCTACCGCTTCTCTAAACTGTATCTGAACAATATGAGTTTTCTTTTTTTTTTCGGGAGAGTGGTATACCTGCCCTTCCCCCCACAATCACTCCAGTGCTTACCTATCTCGGTCTCAAGTAATTCCCTAATGCGTACACTGTTTATTGCCCATGGTTCTCCATATCATCTGTACAGAGTAGTTTAGCTCCACTGGGAGCTATTGCTGTGTCTTGTGTAACACAGTGTATTAATGGATGCTGTCCAGGCATTGTCCTTTCACTGATCAGTTGGACCATGCCCCTCTATCACGAGGAGGGGTCTCAATCGCTACGCTCTCTTCATGCACTATATATACCAGGAAGGATTTCGAAGAGCTATTTGACGTCATCAATCACACGTTTCTCGAAACGCCCTGAAGCCTGGTTTCTCTCTCAATCTGCGTCGGCGCAGACAGCGCGCCTCTCCAGCGCACCCTTGTGAGTACCTGGCCTGCCTTGACTCTCACTGGCCCGCCACTGACTTCATCAGCCAGCTGTCTAAATGTCGACAAACAGGCGTGGGAAGGAGGACACCTGTGTTACAGGCTGTCGAAGGAATTCGCTTATGATCCAGAGCTCGATTCGCTCCATATCTGAAAGCTACGTTTTTCAGGACCGACCAGTAAGAGGTTCCATTCTTACCGCCTCAGGTACTTTATTTGAAGCCCTTGATCGAGGCCCAACAGAGATCAGTGAGCATAAGTGGACCCGTCACAGTGAGATGCCAAACCCATCTGGAAGGGTACCTCCACAAACACACACCA